TGGAGATTAGTATTTTATACCCGGCTGCCGGACGATATAAAAAGCAAATCGTTCACAGATTGCGCGTTAAAAAAGAAGAAATCCGGGGAAAGGCACGGCCAGACCGATGATGGTTAATTGCAAGGTTTTTGTGTTCGCCATTAGCAACAATTTGTTAAGACGCTGTTACGCCATCGCGCGTCCGATTATTACATCCATCGACAATACCCGGAACGCTATAAATAATGCATCGCGAAAACGAGGGATAAAAATGATTTTGCAGATTCCTCCTGCCAAATACCCGTTACTATATTTCCTTCTAACTGTTCCCATCGCTCTGTCTTCATTTTGCATCATCCGTGGCCGCGAAGTGCATCCTTCTGCTCGCGGCCGTGCGATCCGCGTTATTAATTATTCGCATTTAATTATCACATCCACGAACGGTATCGCGTTATCGGGAATAATTAATCAGAGGCCAACGGCATACATCCAATCGGCCGAGTCTTATTTTTCTTTCATTTTTTCCCTTGTCGGCCGCACTTTATTATCGGCCGGTCGTTCACTCGCCGTCATTACGCAGCCGGTTAATAGAATTTTGAAAAAGAAACCAGTCCGATCGGAGACAACGGATCGGATATCGGTCTCTGCGACTACGTTAATTGAAGGATCGAACTATGTTGCCGCGAAGGCTTCGGATAACTTGTTTCAATTTTTATGCGATCTGACAATAATTTCGCTATCGATCGAAGTCGAGTCTGAATACAAAACGCAAGTCATATCGGCTCGAACTTAGATCGGATTTTGTACAAACTCGAACTAGATTAATCGATGGCTTGAACTGTGATAGTTGTAGATTCGGTACAGTTCGATTCAATTTCAAGGAAATTTTATAATTTTATTGCAAGTCGAAATCTATTTTCGACTCACGACGCATGTCACATTAGCATAAACATAGAATAGACTTCTTCAAACTCGAACTGGATTAATTGAAGGCTTGAACTATGTTGAACTAAAGATTGTAGCAAACTCGGTACGATTTAATTTTAACGAAATTTTATAATTTTACTGCAAATCAAAATCAAGTTTGAATTTACAGCGCAAGACACATCAGCTCAAACATAGAACAGACTTTTGCAAAATCGATCTAGATTAATCGAAGGCTTGAACTGTGTTGAACTAATGATAGTTGTAGATTCGGTACAGTTCGATTCAATTTCAACGAAATTTTATAATTTTATTGCAAATCGAAATCTAGTTTGAATTCACAACGCGTCACATCAGCACAAACATAGAACAGACTTCTTCAAAATAAGAAATAAATTGTTATTTATTAAAAATATTAAGAGAACATTCTCTCAAGTGTAGCTAATGACGATAAATTGTAGTTCGGTGCTACTGTAAATTCTTTCCAATTGTTCCTCAGCTTGTAAACAAAAATGGACAATTTAGGAAGAGCAGATACGATTATTCGAGCCTTGCGGCTCGTTTTTATAATTGCCGATTTTGTCAAGGTTATATTAATTATATTTATTATATTATTAATTAGATTCCGAAATTATTCATTTTTCTTTACAAGCTGAGGGAAAATTGGAGAGAATTTACTGTAAAAGGGTTAGTTATAAAAATAATTTTATCAAAATGACTGTCACAACTGATTTGACAATAGTCTGTTCTGTCGTCCCAATTATTCAATGCATTTTCGATTATTTATAGCACTATTTTTGGCCAATTAGAGAGACAATGCTCCTTTATAATTCCCCATCAATAAAGATCTAACATTGCACGCGTTGCAGTGTTGAAATTATTTTTTATAATTAATCGCTGGGTTTACTTGTTTTAATAAAGCATTAAACTTCGAAAAATATTACATGGTGTTTTCATAGCAATTTTCAAAAGAAATCAACGGAGGCTCACTCATTAGATAAAAGATAAATATTGTCTGCCTGAATTATAAGAAATTGAAGTGAAAGAAAAATTTATTAGAAATTGATATCACGATGAGTTTAACTTGTTCTAGTTCGACCGATTTCTGTTTTTGTTACTCAGTTTTGTATATTTTTGTCTTACGCCATTTTTCCATTATTTCTCTCTTAATTCGAAACAAAATTAATCGATATTTTATTAATACGGATTGATGAATAATTGTTAAGAGGATAATTTATTCATGGTTTTTGTACTTTTACTTTCGAACTATATTCGCATACATTGCACCTACCTTGTATTTATATAAAAAGAAATTGGAGAAAATATTATACGACATTTCATGCGTCCAGTATTACATGGCAAGATTTTCTATGTTTCAAAAATATTCCTTATCGATCGCTTCGAGCCATGATCCAGCGTCATCGCGATGATGATAAACCTGTTTCAACTGACTAATCTCTGACGCGCCATCATCCTGTCAAATACCATAATTGCTAGACTGCGGATTTTCATGCAAGATAAAATGTTTCAACCACAGTTCGCAGATGTCGAAGTTAAAAAATTGTCCAGTTTTCGCGATAGCGATACGTCGTCGAATTTTAGATTTCGTTCCATCACCATGAAAATAGATTACCGAAACATTATTAAACTTCACCGAGATTATTTGTGCACCGTGTTACGGAGCACGCCGATGCAGCTGCTCAAAATGCGGTGTAATTAAACTTCTGCGGGTAAAATGAACGAAAGCATATGCGTGGAAATTTATCACGAGGATAAACCAGTTCCAATTTATCAACATCCGTCTTTTCACCATTTTCACGAATATCGCAATTATTATTTTAACTGAATACCATTTTCATGCGCGATAATTAAAATTCACCTGTGCAAACTGCACGAATAATTACTACAACATGGATTATCGTTCGAAATTTCTGTTCTCGCGGGCCGTTTTGTAATAAACAGAACGTGCACCAAGTTGTATTCCTTTATGAACGAGGATTCTAAAATTTACAAATGCTGAAAAACGCAGAGAAATCCACAATGCAACAATTTCACGAGTAATGCTTGATTGAAGCCGTTTTAACAATTGTAGTCTACAAGTTACGAATGCAGAAAATTCACAAAAATTCACAATACAACAATTTCATCAGTAATGATATGTTAGAGAAGTCGGTTTAACAATTACAGGCGATATAAAACCATCAGGAAATAAATAAAATAACACAAACAATTTCGGGTTCGACAGATATGGTTACTTTGTGTTTTACAATTTTACAAATACAGAAAACGCAAAAGAATCCACAATGCAACAATTTCAGCAGTAATGCTTCGTTAGAGAAGTCATTTTAATAATTGTAAACGATATAAGATCGTCAGGAGGCAAATAAAATATTAACATAAACAATTTCGGATTCGGCAGATGTAAACGTTACTTTTTACAAATGCCTAAAATTCACAAAAATTCACAATGCAGCAATCTCGCCAATGACATAGTTAAAGAAGTCATTTTAACAATTGTTTACGATATAAGATCATACAAAAAAAATAGAATAATAATAAAAACAATTTCGCGCTTGACACATGTAAACGTTACTTTGTGGTTTACAATTTTACAAATGCAGGAAATTCACAAAAATCCACGATGCAGCAATCTCACCAACAATTTATATAAATAGGTCATTTTAACAATTGTAAATGGAATAATAACAAAAACAATTTCGTGTTTGATACCTATAAACGTTACTTTGTGGTTTACAATTTTACAAATGCAGAAAATTCACAAAAATCCACGATGCAGCAATCTCACCAACAATTTATATAAATAGGTCATTTTAACAATTGTAAATGGAATAATAACAAAAACAATTTCGTGTTTGATACCTATAAACGTTACTTTGTGGTTTACAATTTTACAAATGCAGAAAATTCACAAAAATCCACGATGCAGCAATCTCACCAACAATTTATATAAATAGGTCATTTTAACAATTGTAAATGGAATAATAACAAAAACAATTTCGTGTTTGATACCTATAAACGTTACTTTGTGGTTTACAATTTTACAAATTCAGAAAATTCACAAAAATCCACGATGCAGCAATCTCGCCAATAATTTATATAAATAAGTCATTGTAACAATTGTAAAAGGATAATAACAAAAACAATTTCATGCTTGATACACGTAAACGTTACTTTGTGGTTTACAATTTTACAAATGCAGAAAATTCACAAAAATCCACAATGCAGCAATCTCGCGAATAATTTATATAAATAAGTCATCGTAACAACCGCGTAAATGGAAAAACAACAACAAAAATCTCGTGCTCGACACCCGTAAACGTTACGTCGCGTTCTAAAATTTCACAAACGCCGAGCACGCGAGAAAATCCGGTATGCAACAATTCCGGCGAGTAAAACGCTTAAATAGAAGACCTCTTTAACAGTCGTAAGCGATATAAAAGCATCGTGAAACTTCAAAGAAAGTTACTCCCCGACCGCGCGTACCATGTTACAAGCGCAGAAAACGCAGGAAACTGCACGTCCCAGCAATTCCATCGGAACTGCTTGCCACGAGCGATTTTAAGCAACCGAGACCAGCATAAAACGGTCGTAAAACTTGAGAGAGAAGTGATTCCTTTAACCGCGTTTCCCCGCAACACCAGCTCGGAAATGCAGTCTTCATCAGCGTAACACGACGAAAACGAACGAAAGCACATACGGTACAACAGCCCATAAAGTTCCACTTGTCTGCCAGACTTTTGCGGCCGACTGTATCGCACGGCAAGTGTAAGCTGGAGCAGGGAAACCCGATTCGCAGCTGCCGGGTCGCGGCGACCCACCCTGTATATTCCCCGGTGTCTTCCCATCTGTTCCCAATGTCCATGGGGTCCCGTGGGTATCTCCCTCTCCGAGTTAGGGCCACGTAAGTCGACCAATCGTTCCCTCCCTCGCCGTCGCCCCACTGTTACCTCTTTCTCTCGTCCTCTCTCTCTCTCTCTCTTTTACCCTCTCTCTCTCTCGCTGTCTCTCTCTCTCTCTCTCGCTCTCTCGGAGCTCTCGACCCTCGAATGGCCCGTATTCAAAGACTTCGTCCGGCGTCTGTCGGCAGTTAGTCGCGGAACGTTCGTCGTGAAACGCGTGTTCCCGGTCCGGCGTCGCGTTCTCTCTACGATCCCGATGCACGGACAGAAAAAGAGAGAGAGCGAGAGAGAGGCCACCCTAATCAGGGCCCGTAGATAAGCTCCGAGTGAACTTGACCCCGGTGCCGGTCCAGTGTGTGCTTTCGCGGTAGCCGGAGCCCAGTGCAACAGGTCCCAGAGGCAGCTCTTCCGTCTTCCGAGGCCTCTGTCGGACCGATCCGCATTCCTCCCGTGGTCCCGGTGCCCGTAGGACCCACGTCGGGACTCCGGCAGTCGGTTAACCTTGAGCAGTGTACCAAATACTTCGGCCAGACGGAGCCGAGCCGACCCTCGAGGCAGTTCGGGCCAGCGAATCGAGAGAACCGCGGTCCGGACGCTAATTGAGATCGGCGCGAGATCCAAGGACGGGCCGAGCCAATAAAAACGGTGGAAAGGCCCAGAAACACGGCAGAGGTCCTTGAGGATATTTCGGAGCGGGTACCTGCCGCAGAAGAAAGTTCCCGCCGCATCCGGCTCCTTCGGACAGCTTCGGACAGCTCCCGAGATATCGCGAGAAGAGTCTCTTTTCTCTCGGACCTTCGGCCGATCTTCGGGCCGATTTCGCAATTCCGCGGGCGAGTTTCGCGGCCCGGTCGTGCACCCGCGGGTCGAAACGGGTCGCCGAGGGCGGCACCGAGCTGCTCCGCGCGGAATGACGCGGCCCTGCGCCGGAATCCCGGCGATCTGACCACGCCGATGCGCTTTTTCCCGTGACCGGCCCGTGTGGACAGCTGCGGAATGGCAGGCGTCGCGCGTGCTCTTCTTTCCGAAAGATTGAATGGAGCTGTCCCGAGGGCGGTCTGACGATCAATCGACCTGCCGGACTCGTCTCGAGTGAGTAACGCCGATTTAACCCGTCGATTTAGCCGCCGATTCGATCGTCGAGCCGCGAGCACCCGCCTCGAAATGTTTTTCCCGAGTTAATGCCCTGTTGATCTAGATGCTAGAGGGATTCAGCGGGGATCCAGAGAGTGTCCTGTGGTATTTTGCAGGCGACGATGCCCGTTGCCGAGTTGTTAGTGATCTTTTGTTACCAGTGGTTCCTTAGTACACGTAGATCGTGGCTCGTAAACTCCGATTCTCGGATCCTCCTTCGTGCCTAGCTTTTTGTTCGGTTGAACACGAGGTATGTACGATTTCGGAGTAATTCGTTCCACTCGCAGGTTTCGTAACACACGATGCCCGCTCTGCGGTTATCATATCGGGTATAAACGTTTTAAAAGCGTACGCCTGTTGCTGCCGCGCGTAATTAACGCGGACGTTCGGGGAATTATTCTTTTCGAAGGGGAAACGATGGTTAGCAGTGATTGAGACCACATTTTTCGTCGATGTCGCGCGCAATTAACGTGGACGTTCGGGGAATAGTTCTTTTCGAAGGGGAAACGATGGTTAACGATAATTGAGACTACATTTTTCGTTGATGTCGCATGTAATTAATGTGGACGTTCGGGAAAATGTTCTTTTCGACGGATAAATAATGGTTAATAATAATTGAGACTACATTTTTCGCTGGTGTCGCGTGCAATTAACGGCGACGTTCGGGAAAATGTGCATTTCGACGGATAAATAATGGTTAACAATAATTGAGATTACATTTTTCGCTGATGCCGCGCGCAATTAACGTGGACGTTCGGGGAAATGTTCTTTTCGAAGGGAAAACGATGGTTAACAATAATTGAGACTACATTTTTCGCTGATGTTGCGCGTAATTAACGGCGACGTTCGGGAAAATATTCTTTCCAACTGATAAACAATGGTTAACAATAATTGAGACTACATTTTTCTCTAATTCGCGCTTAGATTGCGCACAAAAATAGACAATTTGGGAAGAGATGATACGATTATTCGAGGCTTGCGACTCGTTTTTGTAGTTTTTCCCATTACAATAAACTACCGACAACTATAAAAACGAGATGCAAGTATGTGTGCTCGAATCATCCATATTTCCTCTTCCTAAATAGTCCATTTTTATACGCAATCTGAGCACGAATTAGGGCGAATAATAGTTTAATATTATAATTTATAGTTTATAACAATAATAATGATTATTTATAATTTATAATTATTCTGATAACACTTGCCGATTTCCGTACGATATTTTCAACACCTTCGCGTCGGAGCCGTGCATTTGTTCACATTTACTGGCCGACTCGTTTCTCATAATCAGATTTTCACAATCTTCGATTCTTTTTATTTTTCAAAATTATTTTCTGTTTTACTGTTTGCAATTGATACTAATTGATACAATTAATTACACTCCTATTATTTGTCGTTGTGAAAGCTTGCCGATTTCGATGCATTTGTTAACAATCGTTGCAGTTGTTCGTCGAGTGACTCATCGCGAGCAGATTTTCTATTTGACGCGAAAAAGCGTCACCCGCCGATTGGCGGCAGTTTTCGCAAATATTTGCGACATCCGCAATCGGCGGTAGTTTCCGATTCGACGCAGCAACGAGTCATCCGACGCGGAGGTGTTAACGTTGCCTCGCCATGGTCCGAGTTGTCCGACGGCGTTTCTGAAACGCTGAATCAAAATGGACCCGGGCGATCCATTCGCGAGGGTTAATGAGTGAGGTACACTAGCTGCCAAAAGTTTGCCGGCACTGCGGACCGGTTGTACGTACATCAATGTGTGGTTTCCAAGTTGATTACTTAAGAATTTCTCAACGTCGGTAACGGTAACAATTACAGTGTTGCGAAACGAGAAACTTCGATAAATCATCTACAAATTTTTACGAATTCATTTACAAAAATTAAGGTCGAACAGAACCGGCTCGAGTCGAAGTCTTATATGTAGACTGCGGATTTTATGCATTTGTCGCAAAAATTGATAAGAGAAACACGGAGACGTGGAAAAATTAGAAGAGTTTATGAGCATCGTTACAGAATTTTCAATCGATTGAGGCTATTAAACGAAGAAATACATTGTTATTTAATTCTGCAATACGTTGTTTTACGGTTGATCGACAAAATTTTTATTTCGCACAAAAATCTGTAGTCTATTTCGAAGTTGGGCATTGTTCGAATTGTTGTGAATAAATTTTTATCTAAGTTTATTAGTCTGCGGATGTTTATGCACAACAAACATTTTCTTCGTAAATTGCAACAAACAGGAGCAAGATAACAAAATTATTAAACGATGAACAAAATTTCTATCTAAGTTGTTAATAATATATAAATAATTTTATATTCTTTTAATCTTTCTATTGCTCCGAATTTCGTCAATCGATTTCTGCCATAAGTGCATAAAATCTATTGTCCGAAGATTATTATCCGAATGAATTCTGTTTAGTCGAACATTTTATTCGAATAATAATTATTCATTATTCGCCATCAATTATTTTATCTATTTATTCGAATAACAACTGCTCATTAGTCGTCATAAATTATTTTATCTATTCGAATAATAATTCATTATTCGCCATCAATTATTTTATCTATTTATTCGAATAACAACTGCTCATTAGTCGTCATAAATTATTTTATCTATTCGAATAATAATTCATTATTCGCCATCAATTATTTTATCTATTTATTCGAATAATAATTGCTCATTAGTCGTCATAAATTATTTTCTCTATTCGAATAATAATTCATTATTCGCCATCAATTATTTTATCTATTTATTCGAATAACAATTACTCATTAGTCGTCATAAATTATTTTATCTATTCGAATAATAATTCATTATTCGTCAGAACTTATTCTATCTATTTATTCGGATAACAATTACTCATTAGTCGTCATAAGTTATTCTATCTATTCGAATAACAATTAGTCATTAATCGTCATAAATTATTTTATCTGTTTATTCGAATATAGTTTTTAAAATTATTCGAATAATAATGCAACCAATTGTTGACTGTTTTTGTATTTACGTAATGTTATCAAAATATATTTATACAAATACATTCATAATCAATTGAATATCAATTACTTACCTTAGTGAAATTTAAGCACCGTAAAATATTATTGCGAATTATGGAGACGTATCATTGCAAGATTTGCATTATTTTTTGATTTTGATGCATGGAGGCAAAACAAGATACGCTCGCAGCACTTTCACATCGGAAATTCAAATCAGGATTGCTACATTACTACGTATTTATTTACATCGATTATCACGATTAAAACTAAAAATATTTTATAGTATATAGTAAATTTTATTGCAAATTTACTAACGATTTTCTTTTTAAAAAATTTAATGATTTGTCCGTCGGAAGTCAATTAACAGGATTTTCAATTACTGTGCTAAGCGAATTCTTAAAATTCTTTTTCTATATGATAATTTCAAACGCGAAATTATTAGATCCTATTACTAAGGATGAATTGTTGATACAAAACTCAATTTTCTATTCTAATGGAATAATAGGATTGGAAGGATTTTAACTGGAAAGTGTAGATTTTTAGAAATTATAAAATCAATTTAGAAATTATGCTCTAATTTTTCCTGAAATATTATTTGATTTGAAAATTCAACATTTTACGCACTTGCTACAAAACTTAGTATTAGATCATCGAGTATGAACTGCATTCTTTACTCGTTAATTTTGTAAAGAAGCGTATGCATTTCGTACTTAACGACCTAATAGCCGCAATTTCAAACATTAGAAGGATTAAAAAGGATTCTAAAGTGTCGGTGTATTATCTATTTCCGTCCCACTAAAATCATTGAAGGAAAGTGATTCCTGTTATTTAACGTAACGGATTGCAGAAAATTGTAATTTCGCAAAAAAGAGTCATAGTCACTGATTACTATGCCGCGGACTCTATTCTGCACGAGGATTCACAGTTTTATGTCTATAGAATTATGTCACACGCGACAGCAACCTGTTAACCGGGGAATTAACTTTTGTTCAACACGTTTCACAATGCCGTCTCCTTTTTTCGCAATGAGAAGTTATATATATTATCACGCTTAAAATAATAAATTATATTTTTATTGAAAAATAGACAAAGTAAAAAAATGAATAATATTTTTATTAACAAATAGACGAGATAAAAGAATAAATTATACTTTGATTTAAAAGTAAATTAAATAAAAAAATGCAACATGTCTTACTCGATCAATATAAAGTTCAAAATAAACAAAATAAGAGAATAAGAAAAAATGTAATATACAATTTTATTCGATAAATACAAAGTTAATTTTGGCCGAAAAAATCCAAAGGCACAGAAATTAGTGACTCCACAGTAATTGGTTCCACTACCTTCCTGCTTGAGTTTGCACTTGAAGAATTATTTTTGCCGATATAAAAGAAAGTATTTGGACAATTTGTTTAGTTCAGTCACGAATATTATGTTTCATATTTCCTTTTCTTTCAAGGTTATTTTTTTTCAAGTATTGACGGTCATCGCTATTTTTTTCACGTTAATCCCAATTTTTGGAGGTCATTTAAAGGTCATTATTATTAAAAATAGTTGTTATAAAAAATAGGGGTTAGTGTGCAAGAAATAGTGATTCTTGAAAAAATGACCTTGAGAGAAAAACACGCGAATCATAATACTCTTATAACGAAAATATTTTAATTTGCGGGATAAAATAAACATCCTGTGTAATCGGCAAAATGATTGTCAATTAATCTAGATGGTTTTGCATATAAAAAATGTTGTAGTAATGTTTTAAACTAAACTGTGCAAATTTGAAGTGTTGCCATATGAATAGGCTAGATTTCAATGGTTAACAGGTTAATTACTGTCAGCCCTGGATAAAAATATTTCAATTAAAATATACAAGTATTAAATAATATATTAAATAATAATAAAAATAAGAAATTATATATTAAATAATATATACAAATATTATTTCTCTCATCTGTGTTACATATATGCTA